AACTCATTATTTCTAAATTAACACATTTTTACGTGACAAATGTGAAAACACACACACAAAAAAAACACAAACTATGTATTTTAACCTGGGCTGTTGAATTGACTGACCTGTTGATGAACTGCTCCAAGCCCATTCGCCGCTCCTCAATGAAGGACTCCTCAAAAAGGCCCTCATCTCCGCGGAATGGCAACTGTCTCTTCAGGGCTTTGCCCGGCAGAGATGGTACTACAATCTGAAGGTGTCAGGGGTCAACACAAGTAATAGGAAAGATGAAAAACATGCCACCAAAACATGAATTGAAAAAGTCCACGCGTGCTGTGCTGTAACGTCAAAACTGCGGACATTTCAATCAGGATGGCAGCGCAAAGGAACTTATCCAATGCGGTTATTAATTAAAACTTGCATTTGTTTTACCAACACAGGAGACAAGCTTGCTTCGTTTATTAGCTGTGAAACTTACCATTAGTGCTCACTCACCTTACTGTCTCTTTCCAGCTCATTCTTTAACCACTCAAAGTCACTGTATCTTCTTCTCACACAGGAATCCTTCAGTTTAAAAATGGGAAGGTTTGTCTACACAAGAAGAAAGAGGGGGGGGGGGAAACAAAACAGCAATGGATTTATTCTACATTCAATCATTTGCACCCACAGAAGACAACTGCTGAACAACTGGCAACTATGACGAGTGCTTAAGGTACTGAGAGACAAAGGTGTGTTATCTTAAGGCCATAATGTGACTAAACTGTTGGCATGAAAGTTCACAATCAGACTTTGAGGGGAGAATTAAGTGATTTTTCTGTGTAAGCCTCTACATTGTATCTGGTGGTGGTCAATTATTTTATGGCCGATTGATGAATCGTTTCAAATCAGAAATGACAAATTCCCAGAGCCCAATGTGTTCAAATTGCTTGTTATGTCCTATCAACAGTCCAAAGCCCAAATATATATTCAATTCACAACAATTTGAAGAAAAAGCAACTAATTCTCAAATTGGAATTCCTTCTTTCAGTTCATTTTCTGTAAATCAACTTCTAGATTAACTAAAGGACACAGTGTGTCAGATTTAGTGGCATCTAGTGGTGTAGTTGCAGATTACAACTCCCTCACTTCACCCTCCCCTTCCAAGCAAAAAGTAGAAACTACAGTAGCTACGAAATGCCTGAAAAATATGCTCCATCTAGAGCCAGTGTTTGGTCGGTCCGTTCTGGGTCACAGTAAACGTGGCGGCCTCCATGGAAGGCAGCCGGCGGCTCCTGCAGATTAAAAACGTCTCGTTCTAAAGTAACAAAAACATAATGAGTCTTATTTTCATCATTCAACACTAATGAAAACACACCGGACCTTTAACGCTAGTTCTGTCTGGCCAGAAATCACTATAGAAGACTTCTAATGTGAGGAAAACGCCCATGCTGAAAAGTTCGCAGTCTAGTGAAAACGGCAGATTTTGTGTGCAACTGATTGAAGTGATTCATTCACTAGCGTATCCGCTGGGTGTTTCAGGGGTTAGTGAGAGGGTGATCCTGTTGTAGGACCTTCCCATGATTCACTGCTGTGGACGGTCTGCAGACGGCGAGTGGGAAGTAATGAAACAATGCTTTTTCAGTGAAGATTGGTAACTAGACTGATCTGGTTTGTTCAGGGTTGTCTGTAGTTGTGAGACAGCACAATTAGGATACACACATGATCAAAAACTACCTTAAAACTAATCAACCCCACCTCTAATCCATAAACTACCACACAGTGTATGTTAGGATGAAGAAACTAACTCTTTTTTTTACTGATAATGATGTGCAAACTCTCCCAGGAGTCACCACAGATATAAGGAGTTCCAGTCAAGGGCAAGCTGCAATTACGCAATTACAGTGTTAGGATAAGCTTCCTGAAAATGTTGTCTTTAAACTCAGCTAGCTGTGTCAGGGATTTTTGTTTTTTTTTTTGTACCTCACTCTTACACAAGCTCAACTGCCACAAAATTACAGGAAGTTTCTCCTCTTACTACTTTCATTTAATGAAGAAAACAAAGACTCCTGATGAATCAAACTTATAGTAAACTGCATGTAATTTCTCCTGTTCACATATATAAAAAGAAAAAACACCGACATTGTTGGCATTCCTCATTTAGCTGCATAGCATTGTAGCTTAACCTTACTCTTCTTACACGTTTACAGAAACTGTAAAATAGGTTATTAGCGTGTTTTATGTTGCTTAACAAACGTATTTTGCCTTACACATACAGACAGATAATGTTGAATTAGATAGTCCTGACTTTATTAAGTCTATTAAGTCTTATTAAGTGCAAGTAACGGTTAGCTTCCCTGTGTCTGTAGGAGTCCCTTCATTTCCCTAACGTTACTGCCGTAATGTTTAATTTACATAACTTACTCTAAAAGACATTTAACCACAACGTTAACCCCACACATGGCTTTAAACTGTAAATACACGTCCTCTGTGTACGCTGGAATACGTTAGTATGTTCACAAAACTTCTTACTAACGCTGCAAGCTCTGGGGGGGAAAAAAAGGCCGCTGACAATCCACGGCACTTGATTTTTACTGGCGCCGCATCTTGAGCCACTCCAGGCGGCGAACGTCAGAGCCTCCTCCCCCCTCCCCCCCGTGTTGACTCTCGGCACCGCGGCTACACATGCTAACTGGCTAGCAAACAACACTGTAATTACCACTTAGCTTAGCGAATAAAAAGCTAACGCCGCAACAAGATGTGTGTGTGTGTGTTTTTTTTTTTTTTTTTTTTTTAAATCTTCTCTTCTGCATGCAGCTAAAAAAATAAAAAATAAAAAATAAAAAATAAAAACCTACCCGCATGCGAACTTCGTAAGTTGTGAATCGGTTTCGTCCGACTCCATTGGTTTGTGGATCGTAAACGTCTATTTCCAGAAAATTGCTGGGGGGACCGTAAGCATCCGTCAGGTCCTGGGGCTTTGAATTCAACCGGCGAGTGTCGGCCACCGACGGCTCTGACATGTTGTCGGGCTGCAAATTGTAAACGGACTACCGAACGACGAGTGAGCGTCAAACCGACTAAACGCGCGTTAAAAGTCTTAAAATGTCATCTGAAGACATCAATGGATCGCGCTGATCGGTTCAGCTAAGGAAGTAGCCGACTTGTATGTGCTCTGTTGTTGCGGGGGCCAGCCGCCCTGCGCCCTTCCCGTCGAGAATCTGAAAAATGCGTTGACTCAGTTCCGTACTCTGTGGGACACTTCGCGCTCCCTCTACCGGACAGTCGGCTGTATCGCCGGTGACAGTCGGGAGTACAGTTGTGCAATTAATGTGACATGTGTTCTGAGTTTGGTTCAAATATATATTTATTGATTAAGTACAGCAAAAGAGTACACTGCTTTGTCAGCCTTGGTATAATGACAGAAAACAATGACATGTGAAGCACAAGTAGGTTACACAAATGGAGGAAAAAAACGTATACTTATAAAAAGATAATCAAATTCTAACAATGATTAAAATATAATATAAAAGTTATGAGGCTGGGATGAAGCTATTGTGATATTGATATGACTACATAAGTTTTAGTAACTAATGGCTCTATTAATGCCTAATACATTGTTTACTAATGCTCACATTACCAATGAGGTCTTTTTGATCAAAATATAGGGATTTTCTCCGAATATATGTAACTTTAAATCAACTATTAAGTTGTTTTTCTGACATATTCAAAGTGAGGGACACATCAAACATATTTAAAAAATTGGCCTTGAACTGGCCAGTGCCAAGTGCAGTATATAAACTAATCTGTTTTGATCCACATTTTAGATCAATCGGGAGACCTTAATAATACGACAGATTTTAGGTTGCCTGGTTGTGAAAATACCCTTTTTTTTTTGTTTATCTATTTTGGAATAATGCAGTTATAAATGTAATCATCAATTAATAAGTTGTTTAAAAATAGACTTTGGTCTGAACATTTTCTAGCTCGCTAAAAAAAAGACAAAGCATCCACCGAAGTGTTTTGTTTTTGTGTTGTGTTTTTTTTAGACCAAAGTTGAAGATATAGCATTAGTAAGTGATTATTTTGAATTGTTAATTATTTATTTTATAATATTAATAAAGCCAAGAGTTACGACTTAAGGTACCTAACTGGTCATTTTACTGGCTGAGTGAGTGAACAATGAATGGACATTAAACATTGTCCAAGTTTTTTGTCAGCAGTCCTTTCTCAAATATCATCACATTACCAATGAGTGGATACAGTGGATATCATATTCCTAGTGCAGTATATAAACTACTCTGTTTGGATACACATTTTATGATTCATGCATGTTTTGTTTATCAATATACATGTACAATATTGCTAAGCTCAATTTAGGCAGAAGAATAAAAAATCAAAGTTGCAAAGAAAACGCGCCTGACTGAAGCAAAAGGGATTAGAGGAAGTGGATGTTTTAAATGTCCATTGTTTGATATGTGAGGGGAAGTTCCACTATGTTCTCCTAGTGCAGTCAAATATATAGACTTCCGATAAAGGCAAAACTCTGTGTAGGTGAATATACATACATCATTAATTCATTTTCTGATCCTTGTAGTCATGCAGAAGATGTGTCAGTATAAGTGTTGTCAAGTTTAGGAAAATCCAACCGTGGCTTTTTTGACATAGACTATCCAAAGCTATTTTAGCCTTTCTCTGACTGGTACTGTCTCTATGTAGCCACAAGTTATGATCAAATGAAATACTTGAAATTAAAACTATTCATATGCTAGAATAATACTTTTTTTTCTTTTAGAAAAAACAAATACACTGATGCTGAAACTATCAAATATTCTGATATTGCATAAACGGTAATATTAAAAAAGCCCCTCCATCGTGCTAAAGTCCTTAAATATTTTTTAACATTAATAAGGCTTGGGTTCATTCCCATTTTCAAATTCAATGATTGATTGATTCATTGCTTTAAGTGCCTTGAGCAGATATGAAGACATACATAATTTATCAATTTGCAACCATCCAGGAGAGTTGGTCTGGATTGTGAAGTTTTGGGAAACTCAACCCTGACTGAGATTCCTCTTAAACGGGAACTTGCACTGCCTCTTCAGATGAGACTGTGAAGGTGGAAGAGGAGCAGGGGGTAGACATGTCTGACTTGTCCACAGGGACCGACACGGAGCAGTCGGTTTGGTCGGTGGTGACGGAGGACGTGGAGCTGTCAGAGCTCTCGCTGTCGGACTGGGAGACCTGGCAGTATTCACGGACAGGGCAGGCACGCTCATTATAGTTAGCCTTTGAACTCTCTTTCAGGCCTTCAGAGAGTTGAAACCAATCCTTTTAAACAGAAACAAAATGCATTACTTGTTTTGCTCTCATTTCCTCTAAATGACACATCTGAATATGAGCATTGCAGATCCAGTCCAGACTGAAATATCTCAACAACTGTAGTCTTGTCATTGAATTCTGTCAATGACTGCAGTAGGGAGACAACACAGAGCTCTGGGTGCTACTAACCTGGACGTCATGAAAGATCGGGGATGGCTTGGGAACCACAGGGATGAGGATGATCCTGATCCTGTGTGGGAGATATTTTCACTTTTAGATGATTTTATCAAGAACAGTTCATCTACTTTTGTTCCCTTCAGCTCTTTAGCACTGTAGTTGAGCGAGGTTAGGGATACGGAAGTGATTGATT